GACTATTGGTCTTCAGAATGCGCGTACGCGCACGGGGGTACCCATCTGCGATAGCCTTAGAGGGCTGCGCTTACACTCATAGAATCTGGGGTTACAATACGTAACCAACGTCCCATGGTCCTCTGTGGCCCAAAGTTTAAAAACTGTTGTTCTTTTGAGGCCCTCAAGGTGGCGCTCGCAGCCCATAGGTTAAGAATCTATGTTTTAAAGTTACAAATTATTTGAAATCTATTTTTATATTAAACTAAGTTTAAAACATAATAAAAAAAAAAATTATTTGTTTTTTTTTTTGTCCAGGGGCTGCCAGTGGAGTAGCCCTGCTTTCCGGTTTAAAACACAAACCTGAATATTAGGCCTTTTTAGGAGAACGGCTGCTTTGGTTTTTAAGTATTAAATTTACAGAAAGTTGATTTAAAATAAAAACCTCTGGGCCCAGCAGATCAGTTCGACGTTCATTTAACTGGTTTTATTTAAAGTCTAAATTAAACCAGTTTCTTCTGTTTGTAACAACAGAGACACAACTGAGCAACGACGACACACAGGACCTGACTGAAGCTGAAGCAGAGGTGAGTTTTAGTGAAAAAAAMCTGTGATTTAATGAGAAGTGAAAGTTTTTGCTTCAGTCCACTCGCTTGTTGTGACAAATGTAGCATCTCAGAGAAGACTTGGGTAGAAATATGAGAGAGAATCTGCAGCTAAAGTAAGGAAAGTAAAGTGTCAAAGGATGAAGCAGAGCGGTGGATGAAAGTTATGTGGTCAAGCTTTGAAATTAATCTTTGAAGTATTTAGGAACAGTTCTAGCCRGCTGAAAAAACAGTATTTATGTGTTTTAAGCAGTGCTCACAGTGACGAGCTGTGTGGGTGTCCACACRTGTTCTCACATTGTTTTCACAGTGTTTTATTGTTTCAGCTCTGCATGGTTTTATTTTCTGTCGAAATATTAAATGTAAGAACAAGAAGAAGTTGTGACAATGGTAATAAATAAAAAAAAGCTTTCAGAAGTCTTTTGTTTCCTTATTTTCTCTTCACAGCCTCCAGCAGAGCATCCTGAGTCGCCTGATGTGGAGCTGATCGYTCAGCTGGATTCTCCAGTCAGAGACGAACCACAGAAAGAGGACGAAGAGGCAGTGGATGGTGAGAAAACAGAAGAGTTTTACAGTTCTGGATTCTGTGACTGAAGTCAGTTGAATTCTGAGTGTTTCAAACGCAGCTCACACAGAGGCAAAAGGAAACGTGTCGGGCGGCAGCGGCGGCGGCGCTGGAAGTCATGCTGCGGGAGAAGAAACGGAAGCGATGGAGGACAGCAGGGATCCAGAAACAGAGAAGAAAAGGAGCAGAGGTCTTCAGAGGTCTTCCTCTCCCGAGCTGGACTCGGCCGTCGTCCCCCGTAGCCCCGACACCTCCGTGGACTGCCCCCTGTGCCAGGCCTCGTTTCCTGTGAGCGAGATCGAGCTGCACGCCGCCTACTGCGACGGAGAGGTGGCCGTCGTAGACAAGAGGGACGACCAGTTCCAAGGTGACAGAGATGATGATGTAACAGTGGSAATGAGACAAACTGCAGCTGAGGCAGCTAAAATAAGCTATCAGGACATTCACCCCCCTCAGCCCTGATGTGAGGGGTCCGGGGGGTAAATGTCCCAGAACCCTAAAATAAACCCTCTGAGAACAAATTCTCAACTTTTCAAGGTCTGGACCTAAAATGTAACATSGGTAGATATTCTGACAAGTTCTGGATTAATGAATTGATCTGAAGTTGATTGATCTTGAGTTTTCTCTTGTATCAGGAGGGTCTTTTCATAACATGAAGGGTCCATCTTTTAGAATATGCTGACTTGAAGCAGCTCAGTATATTTTAACAATTCATTTATCAGCTGGATTAAACACTGAACAAACAAAATGTGGATTTCTCACATTATTAAACTTGGATATTTTAATAAAATACAACAAATAACACATGAAAAGAATAAAATATGATTTTTATATGTAAAACTGTTATCAATTTATTATTATAATTAGAATTTATTTACATTTATTTACATTTATTTACTTTTTGCTGCCTTCTTGTTCCTGAAATGACACTTTTTGTTGATTTTTTTTAATCTCTGAGAGGAAAGTGGGTCTACCTGGACTCCAGGTGTTCTCTGTGGCTGGAACATAAACACAGAACTGATCCTTGGTTCTGTTGGCCCGTTTAAATGTGGTTCTGGAGCAGAAGATTTAAACAGACCGTTGCTCCAGCAGATATTATTAGTTAATCTGTTGGAACAGATTTTAATCTAATAAACCAAAACAGTTGGTTTCTATCCCTAATTCCAGTTTTTAAATTATACTTTTATTTTGAAGCTTTGAAGTCTTGAGATCACATCAGAGCCCCATGTCTTTTTTAAAATAATCTGTTTCATTAAACCTAAACTAATTTTAGGTTTTATTGTACAGTTGGTTTAAAAATACAATTCACTTTATTCGTTTTTTTTWTTTTTGTTTTCCTTTTACCTGCTGACACCTGGGACCTCGGTATCTGTCGTTCCTCGTGAACTCATTTGGAATGACGATAAAACTCCTTAAAACCTTGAAAATCTTTTCCTCTCCTCTGGGTTCAGAGTCGGTGAAGCTTCCCAGAAAACGGACGAGGAGAGCGGAGCGGACAGCTGTGGGAATAAACGACTCGTCTGACGTCTGCAGGTCAGTGAAACCCTTTAAAAGTGAAGAAATGTAAAAAAGTTTCATTTGTGGTGATTTTATGAGCCACAGAAAGTTTTCTTCTTTACTGTTTTTGTTTTGAATCCCCAGTAACCAGGAGAAGTGTTACATTTGTCAGAAAGCCGTCCCTCTCAGGGAATACACCCGACACACTGAGTCCTGCCTGGAAAGAGCACGACCTGTAAGCTGAAAATCACAGCCGCATGAAGTTTTAGTGCTGATGAGAAACTTKAAACTTATTTCTAAATGTTTGTGACCACAGAAGGCTAACCTGCTGTCGGCTCTGGAGCGAGCTGAGAGCAGACGTTCAGGCAAGTCTTCATTTGATTTCTTCATTTTTTATGATTTATTTCAAACATGCAGAGGGATGTGCTGAAAGTGTGAAACTCTGGAAAAATAGGCAAAAATACACAACGGAACACATTTTTAATTACACAGAATCATATAAAGCATCTGATTATCAGGTTCTTTTGTTCCTGGTTTTTTTTTTTATTTCAACAATGAGATGATCAAATTTGCTGATGTCATCAGGTTTGATAAATGTAGTCTCTGTGGTTTTACAGAGCCCGGGCCGTCTGGATCCAGAGTCCAGCCAGAGTAAGGAAACTATTGTAGTCTTTGTGTCACAGCACTGTTTCTGTTGTGAAATCTGAAATGTTTTTGTCAGCTTTTTATTGAAAAGACAAAAATAGATTTGAGTGATTTCTCAGCAGTTTCTGTGTTTCTGAGGTGTTAAATATTTTGAATCATGGCCGTAGATCAAATCTATTCACGTGTTTGTGTCTGGTGTTCAGTGCCATCATTGATCTGCGGGACAACGATGATGATGATGAGGAGGAGGAGGAGGCAGCTTCAGCCTTCAGGATCAGCGACTCTCCCATCAGGTCCTTCACCTCCATCTCTGAAGCCACCGGGTGCCTCGTCGACTTCAAACAACACCGAGCCAGGAAGCCGGGTCAGCGGCGAAGATGACCACGTGATGAAGGCTGGCTGAAAGTCCTGGAACCTGGAGCCTTAAAAACAAACCTGGAGCTCGTCAGGTTTCAAATTCAACACCTCCGARACCAGCTTTTAGGACTTTATGCAGACAACTGAGAGCTTGAATATTGTCAGACTACCTCCTCTTGTATCAAATCATTCCCTTTAACTTACTGTAGCTTTGCTTCTAAACTCAMATTAAATGTTTCTGATCAAGTGAACGCATCAAAAACGAACACTTCTCCTTTCAGAAACACAACCTAATCTGTGACTGAWGCCTCCTAGTTTTAGGTTCAATCAGTGTCTGAATTCAGCAAGTCTAACTAAACATAGAATAAAAAGGTACATTTATTTTAAAGTTGGATGTTTTGTTGAAAAACTCTGTTTAATGGTTCMACATTTACACCTGAGATCAGAAGTAAAACCTACCTGACCACTGACTGGACCTTTTTATTCACTTTACTTTTGCTGCAAATGAGTCTAATTCAGGTTAATTTAAATAAAATATGTATATTTCCACAAGAAAAGCAAGTCAATAAAAACAATAAAGGCTTATGATGTATTTTTCCTGGCAATACAGTTCAAATGATCCAATCTTACTTTGAAAGATCAAAACCTGAAGAGGTTAATTTGAACATTTACAAGTTAGTCTGGCTTTCTGAGAACCAGATCTCTGCAGTTCTACCAGAACTGTTTGAATAATAGAAATTAACATCACAACTGATCAACTAAAAAAAGCTTTTAAAATATGTGTCTGCTTTAAAAAATATTAATAAAATTAAATTAAAAAGCACATTTGTGACACTTCCAAACTATTCTGTAAAATTTATTACTCAAAACATTTGGCAGAAAAATGTCAATGTGTTCGTGTTCATTATGAGTATTTTACATGCTCCTTTAAAAATGTGCTTAATATAAAACATTATTCCAATGTGAATTTTCTTCCTTTATTTCATAACGATACGTCTCAGCAGCGTGGCTTCATCTGTCAATCAGCATCAGTGGGTTGGACCTGCACGCCCATTGATCCTTGCACATCGATTAGTTTTCCTGCACAGTGAGCAGTGTCTTGTTTACGCCACGTTAATCTGAGCTGCAGCTTTAGTTTGAGCTCCGTACTACAGCCTCACGCACAGGAGGAAGCTTTGCACCTACTACATGCACCTCTGCTCCGCTGCGCTGCGCTGCGCAGCTCGCAGGTGTTCGTTTGATATCGTGTCTGGGTAAAAAAAAACAGCCAGACAACTGTGGCTCCGCCCCATTTCTCTTGATTGACAGTCATTCTGATAAAAACACGTTATGAAATAAATAGGTAAAAAAACAAATAAAACATGACTGTGAAAGTTACATTTTGGATCTGCCAGAGCTGCCAGCTGAAGCGAGGGTGGTGCTTCTTGTATTTTTGATACTGAGTGAAGATGGGGCACTCTGTGTGATTTTACCACTGTTAAAGAAAAGAATACAGCTTGAGCAGAAATGCTAATAATTCTGAATCTGCAGACATTATACCTGAGTGAGGTCTGAAGAAAAGGGGGCGGGGTCCCACGCCCTCAGAACACCTGAGTGGTACAATGAACTGGACAAGAAATTATACTCATCTGTTGCCATCACCTGGAAAACAAAGAGATTTAAAACATTACATCAGTTATTAGTCTAAATGAAAATCTATCAAATCAAAGACAGAAAAGAGCAAAACTGATTTTTTTGTGATGTCACTTGATTAAAACAGTAGCTTCAGTACACTGCAAATACATATAAAATAGGAAATATTATTTTTGTGCAAAACTTTTATTAAAAAGAAAACTCACAAACTCAGAAAAGTGATGTTTTATTAGAAATATAATAGAAATTCATGTCAAATCTTGGACCGATTYCTTTGCCCAGTCCAGAGTTGAGGAGCGACCCTGCTGACACCACAGCGCCGCTCTTGTAAGGCCCGAGGTCAGAGGTCAACGTTGTGATTTGTACGTTTTTCCAAAGTTGGCAGAGAAGCTCAGAACCGGTCAGCTTCGATCTGCCAGAGAGACCACCAGGTCCGGACAGCCTCACTCCATATTTATTCATCACCTGTCAGAAAGAACATGTTTACTGGTGCAGTCACACCAGTTCTGGTTTCACTTATTTCACACAAACTCYACAGTGGCAGCAAACCTTAGAAGTTCTGCACCAAGTTCTTCATTTTACTCCCCAGCATGCTGCGGGMCGTCTCGTCTTTCCACAACTCGTCTGCTTCACCAAGCTTGTCTTCGGTTTCATCTCCAGCTTGAACCTAACGTTGACTCAAACAGACACATAATTATGGAAAGTTATTTAGGTTAGCACTGAAAGAATGAATCTGCAACTAAGGGTGGAAGAACAAATGAGAACGAGCAGGACAAGCTAAGCAGGGTGTAGCGCGCAATTAAACCAGAGAACACATTCAAACATGCAGCTGTAGACTTCATGATGCTGAATTAAGTAGCTTTAATATGCACCTGATCATCTATAAGTCTATAAACAAGTTTTTTTTTTTTTTTATTTATGTAGCTTTGTTTTTGGTAAATCATAGAAAACCAGTTCAATTTGTTCTTGGAATTTACTTTTTTACAACTTAAGTTTAAGAAACAGTAGCTGTGGGCCACAGACCTCTGTGTATGAGTGTTTACAAAGCTGAGCCGGTCTTTGTGTTTGCACAACAAAGATGAGGTTGATGTTTGACCAAAGATGAGGTTGATGTTTGACCTTCTGTTTTCAGTGCAGAGGACATAGAGCAGAACCACTGAGGTGCACACACCGTGCAGATGAATTCACAACAAACTCCACATTTCCAACACAACCGGTTGAGCCGGTCCATCCTAGAGAGAGGAAACCAGCAGGGACTCACTGGATAAAAGCTACAATAAACTACCAAGAAAGAAAGTGTTTTCTTTGCTAAAGCAGGTATTTAAAAGAAGAACTTTAGCCATCAAAACAAATTCAGTAAACATTACAATGAAAAACGACAAACCATTAAAGGATTAGCTATTTCAAACATTACAATTTAGCAGCTTGTCTTAAAGTCTCATWAAGCTGTTAGAAAGCAACTCTTTCAATACATAAAAGCAAAGAAAAGATGGTTCCAGATTTCTGATGCAATTCTTTGAAAAGGCAGAYAGTTCAGAAATGTATCATTTTAAAAAATTTAAAAAGATTTTAAAAAAATGTCAAGTTTTGAACCTTAGCTGCAGAGTTTTTGGACCAGCTGAGGACAATAAGATGTTCCAATAATCTAAAGCAAATATAATTCAGGTTAATTAGTTTTAATTCCAATTTAAATCAGAACTTTTAAACGGAAACTTCAGTGATCTTCACAGCCTCTGTGCAGGTTTTACAGCCGACACATCAATTAATAAAAATCATTTTCACTTCAAAGTTTAAAACTTGAAAGTYAARGACARTAAAAACATTGCAGGGSTGGAAGAATATTAAAGGATGCTCARTGAATAAACTCARACAGCAGGTAAACTGACACGAACACAGCTGAATCCAGAACATAACAGGTGGAAACAATCATGAATCACAGAAAAACACCTGTTTGAGAAGCTGGTCAAAACACCCCAAAATCAGGATCATTTTCACTTTACCTACAACTTTGTTTGCATTTAGGATTAAATAACATCCACTAAAGTGATTTATTAAGGTCCTGCAAAATAACTTTGAGTTGTTTTTATTAATCCTTTTAATGGATACCTCATTTAAATGTGGACAAACTGTTAATTGAAACCTCAGACTCTGCAGCTGACCAACATATTTGATACACGTCATATTGTGAGGATTTACTGTTTGTGCAAAATTTGGCACACGTGAAAACTTGTCAAACCTGTGATTCTGATCTAAATCTTTAATGTCTACTGAAGTTTCTCAGGTTAGACGTCTGGTTTCGCCCTCTGTGTGTCTGTGATGGACTGGAGCCCAGTCCAGGGTGGGCCTCGTCTCACAGTGGCTGATGGAGATGAGTACCAGGGACTTGTTAAGATGGAAGTAGGTCAAAAAGATCAAAGTTTGTACATATACATGAACTGTTTACAACCAATACATTTCTTCTTCTTTGTCTTTCAGCCGCTCTCTTGTCAGAGGTCACCACAGTGGATCATGGATCTTTCAGTTTTCCACCACTTCCTGGTTACGGCACAGTTCTTAACCTGAGCCCCGGCCAGTCAGGTAAGGCTTTTGTGGGTCCACGATTGTTTTACCGCAAGTTTTTAGCCCTCATATTTTATCCAAACTCTGGACCGGCACACAGAAAGTGGGCTTCCAAACCCATAAATGACTGATTATTCATTCAGACAAAAAAAGAGAACAATAAATAGTTCTTGTAAAGTCAGTTTTTTTTCTCTTTTCCTTATTTTTATTTTGTAAAAAAG